AGGGGCCTTAGAATTAGCTTTAGGGTGTAGGGTTTAGGGCCCTTGACAAGTAGAATAGGGCTCCTTTTAGGGTCTAGGGTTTAGGGTTCAGGGTTCAGGGTTCAGGGTTTAGGGTTTAGGGTATAGGGCCCTTGACAATTAGAATAGGGCTCCTTTAGGGTTCAGGGTTCAGGGTTTAGGGTTTAGGGTTTAGGGTATAGGGCCCTTGACAATTAGAATAGGGCTCCTTCAGGGTTTAGGGTTCAGGGTTTAGGGTTTAGGGTATAGGGTATAGGGCCCCTGACAATTAGAATAGAGCTCCTTTAGGGTTTAGGTTTCAGGGTTCAGGGTTTAGGGTTTAGGGTATAGGGTATAGGGCCCTTGACAATTGGAATAGTGCTCCTTTAGGGTTTAGGGTTCAGGGTTCAGGGTTTAGGGTTTAGGGTTCAGGGTTCAGTGTTTAGGGTTTAGGGTTTAGGGCCCTTGAGGGTTTGACTTTAGAGGTTTCGATGTTTGCATGACGTTTTGGGCTTGGAGTTTATAGATCTCGGGCTCAGCGTCGAGGTTTCAACTTCAAAGTAAGAGGCGAACAGACCCTGGGGCTCTACTGTAAGGGTTTAGGGTTTAGGGTTTCAAGGGTAGGATGTGATGAAGGTGCCCGGCAAATACATGAATGATCAGTAGCAGGGGAAAACCTTATCGTCTCCCTGAAATACAAACTATACTGTATCCCAAAAACACTCTTCTGATTCTTCAGGCCCCTACATTAGACCCCATAGAACCCTTTAAGGATCCCTTTAAAGGACCCCTATTCTAATTCTTCAGGCCCCTACATGCTCTTTTCGGAGCCTAGTCTCGGAGTTTGTCGACGAGGTCAGGGAGAAGCATGGAGTGTAGTTGCCTCCACGAACATCAGCTCTGCAACTGAAGGCCCCTAAACCCTAAACCCTGAACCCTAAACCCTCAACCTAAACCCTAAACCCTACCCTAAACCCTATAAACCCTATAAACCCTATACCCTAAACCCTATACCCTAAACCCTAAACCCTAAACCCTAAACCGTAAGGCCCTGAGGCCTCAAAGCCCTAAGCTGCGAAGCTGCGAAGCCTCAGACTGGACTTGAGCCCTGCGACGTCCTGAACCCTAAACCCGACAAAAACCCTAAACCCTAAACCCTAAACTCTAAACGCTAAACCCTAAACCTGAACCCAAAACCCTAAACCCNNCCCTAAACCCTAAACCCTCAACTCGACAAAATATCCAGGCACTGGGCCACAACCGGTCTCTAAAGGAGCTCGACCTTGCAGACAATGAGGCGGATGGCGGGGCCGGGGGGCGGTTTAGAGTTTAGAGCTTAGGGTTT